ACTAGCTTTAAATTCCAAGGTAAAATATATAGACAAACAGAAGGTGTAGCAATGGGATCACCAATATCCCCTATCGTAGCAGACATATTTAGGGACAGCTGAGAAAGTAATGCTCTTAATACATTTACTCCCACTCCAAAAATATGGTGGAGATATGCGGATGACACTTTCACAGTGTTAAAAACAGAACATATCTCTAGCTTCTTGACACACATAAACTCACAAGTAGAGGGAATAAAATTCACATTTGAATCGGAAAATGAACAAGGAGAATTAGCTGTTAGATTGTAAAATAAAACGAATAGAAGGTAAACTACGCACTGGTGTGTACAGAAAACCAACTCATTCTAATAGATATTTAGACTTTAATTCATCTCATCCGTTGACTGTTAAGTGTTTAACAAACCGAGCGGTGGCACTAAGTAGCACAAAAAAGACCTAAATGATGAAATAAAACGGATAGAAGAAGTGTTAGTGTTAAATAACTATCCTATAAAATTCATTAGGAAGATCGAAAAAGGCCAAAGGAAAAATAAAAATAATTGTGAAACTAGTAATAATAACATAAATAAGAGAGAATATAAGTCATCTACAGTTATACCACATAAAGAGGGGACATATGAGAGCCTACGTAGGATTCTAAATAAAGCAGGAATTAGGGTGGCATTTAAAACTACAAACTCACTCAGGGACAAGCTGTGTAGGTTAAAGGACCCAATTAGACAAAATAACATAATTTACAAAATACCCTGCAATGACTGTGAGTTAAGTCAACTACATAGGTCAAACTAGTAGGTCAGTGGTAGTCAGATTGTCAGAGCATAAGAATTTAGCTAAGGTAAGAATGGTCGACCCTGAAAAGATAGGTAATTTAGAAAAAAGCTCAGCTATTGCACTTCACGCATTAACAAACAACCACACAATAGGGTGGGATAGGGTTAAAATTCTAGAAAGTAATATAGGTAGGTGGAGAGAGAGATTGATTACGGAATCCTTATTCATCGAGTCTACACCCAACACATGCAACAGAAATGACTCCATGCAAATACCAGAAATATGGAAGATATTATTACCTCAAGTCAAATCAGAAGAGGATAATAAATAATCTTAAAATTCTATTTCAATTCAAACACATCAAAACATTCTAACAAGTAATTTATTATGACTACAAAAAACAATCGTATAAAACATTCGTATTTCCCATATAATTGTAATCGGTAAATAACACTCGTACTATTATTTCTGAATGGACATTATCTCACATTGATTTTTAATCCAATATCTAATAGATTCCATACATGTATATAAATGAAAGAAAAAAGTTGTGAGTTACTTGATATGATTATGAGCAATAGTTTGTGCTCGAAACGTCATCAGTTAATATAGCTGTACAACACTGTGTGATTCACTACGGACCTCCGCTTCGGTTGGTGGGTCGGTACTAACCGACCAGGGAGCACTAAAGCTAGTGACAGCAGATACTGAAGCTGGTGGCCAGGTGAACTGTTTCTCGAAGTGCTTTATTCAGCGTTCCAGACGCCTTTCAAGCTGGTAATTGGCGTGCCATCTGCCTCACAGACCGTCTTCGCCGACCCATTGTTTCTTGCTGCCGGTGGCTCCGATGAGCTGGAACAGCTTCCGACTGTTGCCACATGCAGCAGCTGACTCCATCTCACACGCACGTTCTGAGCACCACGCTTCGCGGTCCTTACGTAAACACTGTCTAATCTTGCGCGTAAGCGCCTTTCGTTTATTACTATATTCGCTGGTAGCCGGAATGTACGGGCGTTCATCCAGGAGTTGCAAGGAACTCGCAGAAACCCAGTAGTTTTTAGAGGAGCATTCTTTCAAGCCGCAAGCGGCTACACTCGCCTTTTGCATGGCACCTTGCACATGAAGCCAATGTTCACCTATGCCACTTGGGGGGGTTGCTACCAAGCAGCGGTTGCTGGCAAGCATTGATTGCAACACATTCTGGTATTTCAAAGAAGTAGCAGGTGAAAATAATTTGCTCACATCGGTTAAATGATGCCTTTTATGAACCCCACCAAGTCGCAAGACGAACTTGGCACACACTAACGCATGATCGGAGTCCAGGCATGTGCTCCAGAAGGAACCGCAGTCTCACAATGCATCTTCGCCACCGGAAACTGACAGCAATATGACCAATCTGAGTCCAAGCTTGATTCGCAGAAGGAGGACGCCAAGTGGCGCTACGGTGATGGCTGTGTCGGAAGTTGGTGCTGGCTAGAAATAGGTTGTCATCCGCGCAAAGCTGCAGAAGACGGTCCCGATTATCTGACCTGCGACTCCGTAATCCCCTCTGACCACCTAGACGATTCTCCTCTGAGCTTAGACGCCCCACCTGTGCATTCAAGTCCCCAGCCAGCACTACGATATCCCTCCGACCCGCCTGTTTCAAGAGATCGCTCAGTTGGTAGTAAAACTCATCCTTCATTGCATCCGGGCTGCAATCCGTCGGTGCATAGGCAGAGACAACAAATAGACACCACCTATCTGGCCTACCACTCCTTACTTTTGTATAACCTTCCAGCCTCACAGCACATAAACGACTGTTAATGGGGATTTAGCAGCTTCGGCCCTAGCGCTTAGTGCGACACCAACACAAGGTTTCAGGATATCTGTGTTAGGCGTCGCATTGGGGTCAACCATTTTGAGGGTTAATCACTAACATCTCGAAACGGCACAGATAGGCTGGGAATTTAGACAAAGATGAAAGGCTGTCGAAGGTGAAGACGTCAAGGTTAGCAAAGGTAAAATACAGGAGTCTATGTATAAAAATAAAAGTAAGGTTGGAGAAAAATATGTTACTTGAGACGTCATTATTGCTTGAAAGCATTGTTACGAGCGCGCGATAAGTTTCACTGGTAGTTTGTTGCTTCATGTCATTCATTGTGTGAGGGCTGAGATACTCCCCAGGCGCCCAGACCAAAGCAGGTGGTTTTCTCAAGGGACCACTCCCCGAGCCTTTGACTTAGAGTCTAATCCGCAAGGCACAGGAGAAGCGTCAGGAGCTGCATCACCATAATTGCCAGCCATTGATCCGATTGGATTATGGAGCCCATGTACCCCATGGTAACTGCTTTTAGTCTAACCGCTATCCAAACAACCTTCCTGACATGGTAGGACCCGCAGGAACATGAGCCCCAGCCAGTTTAGCTTGTTGGGTCACTGCGGTATTCAAGCCTGACCATCACGACAAGATAGCAGTTGTCGGCCGGGCTTTGTGTGCTACACGGAGTCTGGAAACTGCACTCCTGTGCATAGTTCCATATTGAAACCAGACAACCACGTAGTATTATAAACCCTCAGTAGCGTGAAGATAAGTTTTAATAAAAGCCGGACAGAGGAATTACATACATACAGTGCGTTTCTCAACACACCTGATACACTATGTCTATAGTTAAATGAGGCAATTAACTTTGCTTGCTGCACTTTTCACTAACAGAATAATGGAGTATAAATAGCCCGAAGATAATTCTCCAGACAAACGTCATGCACGTCAGACTAACTTTGCGTCACATTTCGTAACCCAGTGGTAAGAGTAAGTCATTAATGAACAATGTGATTTGAATCTATTATAGTTAGTCAGAATTTATTTCCGAACCTTAAATGTTCACGTTGGTGTTGACTGTAAAAGGCACGTCGCAGTTCGTGAAGCAGCGACCGCGTGCATGTTGAACGCATGGATGAGATCATCGCTAACATATATCATATTTTTGAATGTGAACCACTTTTTTGCAACAATTCAAATAAAACTCATTATTAATGAAGAATTAGGAGTCGTACACAATTTGAGACTGGCAGATTTATATCGAATCCTCTGAAATATTCTAAGACAATGCATTAGAAGTCCACCAAGTTTTCAAAGACTTACGTTTACAAGGCAATACAGGTTTACTACATAACAACTGCTGTCGAAATGTGTACCAGACCTTAATTGTGTACGTACTCATAAGTATGACGGCATGAAAATAACCCGTGTATCATACGTATAAGCGTGAAAGAACCAAAGAAATTATGCTGAATTAAACGGGATAGGAATAATTTTTAGTATGCATTTCTATTTTTATAGTTTTACTGGGATGAAATATAAGCTGATTTTTAAGGCGAATCCAGATATTTCTTTAAAAATACTTCATTTTATATAAATTCTGAACGATACTTAATTATCTATCGGGTGACAAGTATTCAGATAATGATATCTAGTTATGCTACCCACACAGTATGCACACTCATACAAACTGAACAGGCAAGTCTGGTAACAAAATTAAATGAAAAATTAAACCCGGCTGATAACTGCTACCTTGTCGTGGCGGTCGGGCTTGAATACCGTAATGACCCAACATGCTAAACTGACGGGGACTCTGTCCCTGCAGGTCCTACCATGTCAGGAAGATTGTTTGGATGGCGGTTAAACTAAAAGCAGTTACCATGGGGTACATGGGCTCCAGTATCCAATCGGATCAAATGACGTATGAACCCATATGGGTCACCGGCAACCATTGGAATGCGGCTCCTGACGCTTCTCCTGTGCCTTGCGGATTAGACTCTAAGTCAAAGGCTCGGGAGTGGTCCCTTGAGAAAACCACCTGCTTTGGTCTGGGCGCCTGGGGAGTATCTCAGCCCTCACACAATGAATGACATGAAGCAACAAACTACCAGTGAAACTTATCGCGTGCTATTACACGTGTTGCAATTTCCTTTTTTCTTCCCTTCCAGATGATAGTTAACGAATACTGTTTGAACTTGTTAAGCATGGTTGTTTTCCTTCCAGATGAAGTTCTTTATCCGTTCTCTACTTATATATCTTTTTTCTCTTCTTTCTTTTTTTCTTTTGATCTGTTTTATTATTACTGTGTGGCGCATCCTTCTTGGTGCCATATTGCACCAAGTTTTTATGCGTTTAAATAAATACAAATAAATACAGAAACCAACATGAAAAGTCCCAATAAAGTTATTCAAGTTACCCTCCTTACCTGTATGTTTTATATGCGCTTATTTGGTGTCCCTAAAGCACTGGTGTCCTACTTAATTGATGTATCGTAGTGCGAAAGGGTTAGAAAGTGTTAGATTTCCGTCATACTTGCCTATACGCCGACACCCTGCAGCCCGAATGCACTCAAGGATAGGTTCTATTTTCATCTCAACCAAGCGCGCACGACAATTATAAGACCGCTAACTGAGGATTTGCGTGTACAGATCAGGTGTCTAGATTCATAAGCGATAGGTAAAAATAAGAAAACTGGAGATCAAATGATGGAGACTGTATTCTGCACTAGCAACAATTATCGGAATAACCATTTTAGGTGAACGATAAGCTCATGTATTTAGGTAGTGTGAGTCCCAGCAGAAATGACGAATGAGACACTTAACAGTATATCGAAGATCAGGGTGGCACACACCAACTTTCGTGCTATTGTGATATCTATGTAAACCCCTAAAATCGGGTTTACAGAGCTTCGCTGTGTTCAGTTCTATCCTACGTCTATGAAATCTGTTTGTTTTTTTTGGAGACAACGACGTACGATGTCTTCACCAGTTTGACTACTGTTGCCTAAGTTTGCGTCCGATGGCATCAGCATATATAATCCAGACATGATTGCTTCATCGCGACATAGACCATCTCTCCCAAACAGCGGCTTAGTTGCTTGCATGTACGTTACGGATGTCATTCTGCACACTGCTAGCCCTGGAACTAGATGAAAAAAGAGGAGTGGCGAACTTATGACGTGGTGTCATGGTGTGATAGCTATGTTGGTATCCGTGAGACGAGACCCAACGAATAGGAAACAAAGTGTCATATGCCTTCCTAAGAATCAAAATACTGGAGAATTTTCCGCAGCTCACTTTCTCTCTTAAATCTGAAAGCAACATGAAGTAAAGAAAGCCTAATCTCGCCTCATTATTTTGTATCAGTACTGCACTAGCTTCATTTTAATTACAACTAATGACTTTCCTTACCGGAAATACAGACCACTTGAGGGCTATCACAAACTTAATGGACAGATTAACTGATATCCGAAGGAAAGTAAGTGGAATGAAGCAATGGTGACATAATTTATCCTCGCCTAACTGCAATGGTGTATTTGACTAGATGTAATCTTAGATATGGGGAACAAAATCACACATGGGTGATCCAATAATGGTTGCAACACAGACTGTGCCGGTTTTTTCAAAGAATTAAACATTACTTGAAGCCACTACAGCCAAGGCACTAAACCAAGTACCTTTTAACCCAATGTAATTCTAAAAAGTTCAGACTATCCGTCATACGTGTACCACATTGGCCTTAGCAGTCTGTCCACATATACTGTCGTCTAATGCTAAACAGTTTTGTATGGTGAAAAGAACCTAATATGTGCTGAACTAATGAGGTCAGTACTGCAAATACGACGCTGAAATGAAGCCGCCAATGCTGACATATGAGCACCAGGTAATGAACTGATTAAACTGAGCACAAACGGCCTGAAGAATGCTAGCAAAACGTTTATCCAATGATGAAATACTGCTAGTCAGTTCCGAGAGGAAAAGACCTCGAAAAATATGTCAACATGTGCTGAAATAAATCTGATATTTAGAAAATGGTGCTTGTCAATGCAAAATTTCGACTTAAAGTTAGCGACAGGGCTTTTACTGCCAACAGGAAGCGAAATTATGTGAGCAGCATAGAAATAATGCTATTCACTGCCTAAGTGAAGCTAAATGAGCTGAATTGGTGATGAGCGAAATAACACTGAGTGCTTAGTGTCCATTCGTACCATTTTAGCACTCTCACTGAGTTTTCTCACCATAAAAAGAATCTTATTCCAGAACGTTGTATAATATTAAAACTGTAGTATTACTTTACGTAGACATTAGCTCTGGTGAAACCGCCTACTTATTCGACCGCTAATATCATTAAAAATGGAAGGAAAGAGTGACGGAAAGGTACCACAGCCAGCTGACCTTGAAACAACCAATCAGATCGCTCAACATCACAAAAGGATGCTTCCCACAACCTTCGTTGCGAGAGTCATCCTGATTCGAGTAGGGGTTACATTCAACACCAAATGTGTGGTTTTGGGTTAAGATTAGGGTAAAAGTAGCGTTACGGTTAGGATGAACTTGCTACGACTATTATGGACAACAGCCATTCAACATCTTGAGCGCTGTGGCTGTGACTATGATATATGTCTATAACCACCGCCATTAGGAATTAGGACCCTTTTATGCAGCATATTTGAGGCGCATGTACTGTGCAATGCACCTTTATTGAGTATATATCCTGTAGATATTAGAAAACAGGCATGCTACATTTCCCCTAGAAGAAACTGATTGGCTGCTATCAGGTCATTTGGCTGTGGTATTTATTCCGCACTGTTGCCCAATAAAATTTTTAAATCTCGATTTGACTTCACAACTTGGTTTAGAAAATAATACCTTCAAATATTCGCCACCTACGGTGGCTAGCTGGGAGCCGCACAGTAGTTGTAATGCAACACTGTAAACACCCCGCCTGCGGTCCAATGTCCAAATGACTATCGATTTCTGATTGATACGGAAAAGCAGATCTCAGATGACTAGTCCACTATTTTGCAGGCAGGCGTTTGGAAGAAGTATAACAATGGCAGTCTAGAAGCATCGAATTTTCCCATTACTTTGACAGGTCTAAGTGCTCTAACCTAAAAAATTCGAGAAGAAAAGAGAAAAGTAGTTTAGCATTCCTGGTAGAGCGAGAGGAGTATTGAGTAAAGCATCCTTTTTAATGTTTGCAGCTGTCACTGACTTTCAGCGAAAAAACCCACAGAAGTAGAACAATTACATTATAATACAGTTGACAGAAACACTAAGTACTGCAGAAACCGAAACTGGCTTTACTTCATGGTTATTTCCGTGTGCCTGCTACAAACATCAGTGGCTAGCTATCAACATACATAAACAGCGCTTGTTGCTCAGTACAAACCAACTCAAATAAGTCAAAATAGTAGACAGGCAAGTAGATGGAGTAGCAATGGGTACTCCCTTAGGACCCCTGTGGTGTCCTCAAAAATAAACTTATCCAATTTTTACTACTATGTAAGAAATGAACATATTGTACATCACTTTGTTTTAACCATAAACTCTGTACTTTGAAATTTACCTCGGGTTTTGAATAAATATATAGTTCTGACCCCGACTCACCGTCTTCTCCACCGTCTCAACTGCCGTCGATCCATTTTAATCGCCTGCTTTCTATCTCAAAGTTTTGCAGGAGCACCGTAGTTTCTTCCTACGTACTTTGGTCGACCTCCGGCAACGTCAACATTGGAGAATTAGTACTGGAGCAGTCTTCCCACAGCGTCTCTGGAGTTTGTTACGTTTATTGTGGATTTTGGAACTTTTTAAACCCAAGTAACGAAACTTTAATATATTCTTCCCGTAACTAAACTGATTTGGTATTTTATTTTCTATTTGAATTTGGGTAACTAAGCTAACAGGGTAAAAGGTCCACCACAATAATTGGTGAGCCCGTTTCGAACCTTTTTTCGCTGGTTAACCCGTTTCGAACCTTTTTTTCGATAGTTAACTCGTTTTGAACATTTTTGTTGCTATTTTGGCCTTATAAACTCACATTGCTTTAATTTTTGTCGCCACACGTTTTGCTATTTTGTATATCTCTACACTTAAATATTTTCTGACAATGGCTCCACCTAAACATACCACTGTTGCTGAAGAAGGTAATAAAGGCGAAGAGACACAGAACTCTGCTGTTAACGCCTTGCCGGATTTAAGACTACCTCTATTTGATCTGGCTGAACCACGTGTCTGGTTCACAATCATAGAACGGTTGTTTGCAGCTCGAGGTATTACGTCGCAGATTGCCATGTATGGTTGCGTATTAGCAGCAATACCCACGGAAGTACTACGAGAGGTTATCGATGTCATAGACAGCAAGCCTACAGACTCTCAATATGACAAACTAAAAGCTGCACTCATCCAACTGACCACCCTCTGCGATGAGGAACGTACACAACAACCACTTACTTCGTGTGATCTAGGTACAAAAAAGCCATCCCAACTACTTAGACACATGCGTCAGTTGATTGGATCACATAAAGTAGATGAGTTAATTCTACGTCAGATGGTCTTACAACGTTTACCACAAAACGTTCAACAAATCCTAAGAATATCTTCTGGGCCAACAGACCTTGAAGAATTAGCTAAGATGGCAGACGATATCGTTGATGTGTTATCAAATAATGGCATAAATAGCGTGTCTACAGAGGTACTACCACCAAGCCCTTCCACATCTATGAAGGACGCGCCAATGTTTTGGTTACTTTCCCAGTTAACATCTCAAATGCAAGACTTACGACTGGAAGTGACTGAGCTTCGAGCACAACGGAACCAGTCACATACGGTAACCAAGCAACGGCGATCAAGATCTAGACGACGTTCTAGAACACCGTCTCAAAGCCGTAACATTTGTTGGTATCATAGGAGGTATGGGCATAATGCCCTGAAGTGTGTTCTACCGTGCATATACAGCAGTGGTAACTCAACTCAGGGAAACTCCCCAACCAGACAGTAATGGCGACGGCTGTTACTGGCAATCACCCCAGTCGCCTTTTCTATGTGAGGGATTTGACTGCCGGCACATTATTCCTGGTAGATGCAGTCGCCGAGGTCAGTGTTATTCTCCCCTCACTATCCAGGCGATCAGCCAAAATACCGGGTAAACTTTCACTCCGTGCTGCCAACCAAACCAACATACAGACGTATGGCGAACATTCAATGGCGTCGATGGCACAGCGGTTAGGGCTCTCGCCGACCACGTGCATGGTTTGTGTGCGTCGGTGGCACAGTGGGTAGGACTCTCGCCGACCATGCACATGGTCCGGGGTTCGAGCCCTCGCCGACGCACACTTGATATCTATGGTCGGCCTGCAAAATTTGGGCTACCGATATCCACGCTGAAAATTCCATACTTGTACCAAAAATACAGTGTGGAATCAAGCTGTAATCAAAAATAAAAAAATAAAAATAAACCTAGGATTACGCCGACGTTTCACATGGATCTTCATAGTAGCTGACGTACGTCACGCTATACTAGGTGCAGACTTCCTGAGTCATTTCAATCTGTTAGTTGATATCAGCAAGAATACACTGATTGACAACTGCACACAACTCAAGATCCACGGTATTACATGTGATTACTCCCTTCATAGTATTTGCATAGAAAAGCCGGAGAGTGAAATGTTCTCTGCTTTATTGCAACGATTTCCTAAAATCCTTAAACCATCACACAACGTCAAGGATATATCTCATACAGTTACGCATAAGATCATCACAACAGGACAACCTGTGAAGGCACGTCCACGACAGTTACCACCCGATAAACTAGCAGCAGCTAAGTCGGAATTCGAACATATGATGCAGCTAGGTATCATACGACCATCTAACAGTCCATGGTCTTCACCTTTGCATATGGTACCCAAAACTAATCACAACTGGCGACCATGTGGAGATTATCACGCTTTGAATAACGCTACGGTCCCAGACCGTTATCCTATACCTCATCTCCACGACTTCTCCTTGACCTTACATGGAAAGACCGTTTTTACTAAAGTTGACTTGGTCAGGGCATATCATCAAATACCAGTCGCTCCAGAAGACATTGCAAAAACAGCAATTATCACGCCTTTTGGATTATTCGAATTATTGAGAATGCCTTTCGGACCAAAGAATGCTGCTCAAACATTTCAGCGTTTTATGGACCAAGTTACCCAAGGTCTTGATTTCGTCTTTGTATATATCGACGATGTCTTAATTGCCAGCTCATCGATGGAAGAACATATGGAACACTTAAGCCTGTTATTTCAAAGGTTTGAACAATTTGGAGTTGTTATC